TCCATTTATTATGATGTTGTTTATTGCACCAATTGTTCGCTTTCAGAAAACAAGTTGTTTGCGAGCCTTCCTCCAATCCTGATGTCGTCTTCTTCAGATAGTCCAGCTTCTCAGATTCTTTGCTCAGCGTACAGATTGAATATATATGGTGAAGGGATACAACCCTCATGTATATCTTTCCTGATTTTAAATCGTGTGATATCCTGTTGTTCTAGTCCAATGTTGTATGTTCAAGTTCAGCATGCGCACCTCTACAATTACGTGTTCTAGAATTACCATTCTTTGCAATGTTACCCATAGTTTGTTATGATTCACACAGCTAAATGCATTGGCAAACTCAATAAACACAAATTAATATTTTTCTGCTTATTTTTCCCTTTCTGCTAAGATCCAGCTGATGGCAGCAATGATACCCCCTTGTCCCATGTCCTCTCTGGAATTCAGCTTGAATTTCTGCAGCTCCCTGTACATCTACGGATGCAACCAGTTTTGAATTCTCATCAGCAAAATCTTAAATGAATATAGCACATTGATTTTGTTCGTTTACTTCTGCATTCTGTTGGGTCATCTCTCTTTGGATTGGGCACAAATATAAATCTCTTTTCAGCTGAATGGTCAGGTCTCTGTCTTCCAGAAGTGTCGGCACAGTCTAGCGCTACGAGCACTGTTTCTGTCTGCTGAAACATTACATTTGGTATTCGTCAATTCCTGGAACACTGTTTCAGTGCGGCTTGGGCTTCCTCATTCAATACCATCAGCTCTTAATCATATGCTGTCTTGAAATGGTTAAACATCAACCATTTACTTCATCTTCTTTTGATGCTTTGGGCATCATTTAATATTTTGTTCATTGCTGTTGTTAATTATTAATTAACAATTGTTAATTGTTAATCAGTTCTAACTCAAGATGACCCTGTATAGGGTTTCTGACACCGTAAGTCTTTAAGGGAGCTTTTCTCCCATGGAGCAGCTGGTAGATTTGAACTGCTGAACTTCTGGTTTGAAGTCCAGTGCTTATCCTACAGAGCCATCACGCTCTCTATAGTATCCTTCATAAATTCAGATTAAGGCCTAGATTTTTTCTTTAGTTCTCTCAGTTTGAAAAATGCTGAACTTGTTCTTCCCTCTTGGTATTTTAATTCCAGATCTTTCCACACTTCATTAGAACACTCTGTCTGCTTGCGTTGTTCTTTGAACCCTTCTGTTGAGCTCTTCCACATCATCATTGCTTCCATTCCTGTTAGCACTCTATACACAAGGGTGAGCGGATGTCAGAGTTTCCGAGTCTCTTCTGACGTTCACTTTGGTCTTTTCTTTCTCTCCTGAGTTTTTAAGGGCCTTCTGCTTTTTTCTCTTACGATGTTCTTGATGTACCCCACAACTCGTCTGGTCTCCAGTTACTAGTGTTCAGTGCATAGCTTTTCTTGTGATGATTTCTAAATTTAAATGGAATATGCTTTGGCTTTTGTAAACTTAATGTTCTTCAGCTTCATCCTGAACTTACATATGAACAATGGATGGTCTAGTCCAGTCAGCCCCTGACCTTGTTTTTGACTGATGACATGGAGCTTCTCCGTCGTCTCTTCCCAGAGAAGCAGTCCATTGATTCCTGTGTATTCCATCTGGTGAGGTCCACGTGTTTAGTTGTCTTGCATGTTGTTGGAGAAAAAAAGGTATTTACAATAATAACTTATTGGTCTTACAAAATGCTGTCATGTGATCTCCAGTTTTGTTTCTATCATCAAGGCTTTATTTTCCAACTACTTACTCTTCCTCTTTGTTTCTACCTTGCATCCCAAGTGAATGTGTGATCAGCTCAAGATTGAAGAACTTGAAAGAATTCCATTTCTTCATCATTGGCTTTGGTGGTTGGTGTATAAATCTGAATGACACTGATAACTATTCTTGTAGGCATAGAAATTTTATCCTACCACAGATGCTGTTGTACTTCAAGACAGATTTTGAAATGCTCTTTTTGATGATGAAGGCAATGCCATACCTCTAGCATGTGTCATTCCCAGAATAGTAAATCATGTGATTATCCAACTTAAGATGGTCAATGCCTGTCCATTTCAGCTCAGCAATGGCTACGATGTGAATCGTTAGCGGTTGCATTTCTGACAACTTCTGATTTTCCTAGATTCATACGTCATATTTCCACATTCTGTTTATAAATGCATAGCTGTCTCTTCTCCCTTTGTATCGCGCCCCATCAGCAAATGAAGGTTCCAAAAGCTTTACTCCATCGCATCACAAATGTCAGTTCTACTTTGAGGAGGGAGAAAGTTCTTCCTCATATGTATTTTGAGTGCCTTCCACCTGAGGAAGTCATCTTCCAGCACTGTATCAGATGATGTCTCACTGCTTTTCATTGGTTTTCTGGGGATAATTCCTCAGAAGTAAACCGTCTAGTCATTCTTCCTAGTCTGTTTATAGTCTGGGAAACTCTGCTAACATCTACCCACCATGGGTAACCCTGCTAGTATTTGCAACGTAAGTGGCACAGCTTCAAGAATCACAGCAACACGCAAACCCCCACAGTATGAGAAACTGAAAGACATATGAAGCCACAAAGATTACAGCCTAGGAAATCCTTTGGGGTAGCTCTACTCTGTAGTGGGGCCTCTATGAAGTCAAAAATCAATTCAACAGTACACAAAAACAACAAAGTTTTACTCAGTGTCTAACTGAAACTGCCAAGCAAATTAGTTAGATGTCTTTTCTTCACAAGACTGAATGCTCATTTTAAAGTTGGCTGCAGTAGCAAACCAACAAGGGCTTCCCAGAAATTCAAGCTGGATGCAGAATAGAATATGAAGTAAGGGATATCATTCCTGACATCTGAAGGATATTGGCATAAAGCAAGGGTACCAAAAAAGATGATTACTTATGTTTTATTTACTATGTAAAGACATTTGCCTATGTGGATCCTAACAAACTACAGATAACATTGTGAAGAGTGGGAATTCTAGAACATTTAATTGTGCTCATGCAGAACCTGCACACAGGCCAAGAGACAGTAATTCTAGCAAAACAAGTGGATATTGCACGGTTTTCAATCAGGAACGGTGTGCTTCAAGGTTGTAGCCTTTCACCATTACTCATTCAATCTATATGGCATCTTGGTGTATAAGCTGTAGGATAAGCACTGGACTGCTAACCAAATGATTGGGGTTTCAAACCCACCAGCCACTCCTGGGAAACATCATACAGTGCCACTATGAGTCAGAAGCAACTCGACGGCACTTAACAACAACAAATTCCATCTGTCTGCTGAGCAAATAAACCAAGAATCTGGACTATATGGAGAAGAACATGGCATCAGGATTGAAGGAAGGTTCATGACAACCTACAATATACAGATGACATAACCTTACTTGATTAAAACACAGGGGATCTGATGATGATCAAAGACTACAGCCTTCAGTATGGATTAGCACTCAACATAAAGAAAGCAAATACCCTCACAACTGGACCAATAAACAACATCAGATGAATGGAAAAGTATTGAAATTGACAAGAATTTCATTTTACTTGGAGCCACAATCAACACTCACTGAACCAGCAGTAAAGAAATCAAAAGCCATATGGCACCAGGCAAATTTGCCCCAAAGACCTCTCAAAGGTGTTGAAAGGCAAAGATGTCATTTTAAGGATTAAGGGTGTACCTGGCCCAAGTCATAGTGCTTTTTAACAGTCTCTTATGCACGTGACAACTGGACAGTGAAAAAAACAGGCAGAAGAACTGATCTATTTGAATCATAGCGTTGGTGAAGAATACTGGAAGTACCACGGATGGCCAGAAGAACAAACACATCTATCTGGGAGGATGCACAGTCAGAATGCTCCTTAGACGTGAGGAGGGTGAGACTTTGGACATGGTATCAGGAAGCCAAGTCCCTGGAAAAGGACAGGAAAGAGGGTCCGTGAAAAAGAGGAACATCCTTAAGGAGACAGATTGGGCACAGTGGCTACAAGAGTGGCCTCAAGCTGAACAAAAACTGTGAGGATGTTGTAGCACCAGGAGGTTTCTCTTTCTATTGTACATATTGGGCTGCGATGAGTTGGAACTGATTCAAAGGCACCTATCAACAACATCATTTTCTTCACAAGACTAAATACTCATTCGAAAACCAAAATACTACATAGTACTTTGTGGTATTAGGTTGATAAAATCTAAAACAGAACAAATTTTTAAAAAATTTGTCTCAAAAAAACAAGGGAAACCGGAAGTGATCATGAATTCATTTGCTGTTTCAAAATCTTTATAAATATGATACTGGCATGATTAGACTAATCTTACTCTGCATGAAGGAGCACCAATGGTACAGTGGGTTAAGTACTGGGCTGCTAACTGAAAGGTCAGTTCGAACCCACCAGTCATGGGAGGAAGAGGAGGCTGTTTGCTTCTGTCAAGACGTACAGTTTCAGAAACCCTAAGGAGCAATGCTACTCGGTCCTATGAGGGGATTTCAAAAACTTCCTGGAAAAACTCCATTCTCTTTTATTTTTCCACAAACTTTTTGAAGCTCCTTGGTATATAGGGCCATTATGAGTTGGAGGTGAGTAGATGGTTTAGTTTTATGGGTTTCATAACATAAGAAACACTGAGTGGAGCAAATGGTTAAGTAACTGGCTACTAAGCAAAAGGTTGGTGGTTCAAGTCCACTCTGGGGCACCTCAGTAGTTCTGGCGATCTACTTCAGAAAAATCAGTCTTGAGAAATCAGTCTTTCTCAACCCAGAACCTGGTGGGGCATGGTTCTATTCCGACGCACACAGGACCATCATGACTGGGAGTCCATTTGACAGCTCTTGGCTGCTCCTGTTTGTTTGTTAAGGACCTAAAGCTACATGTCATTGCCTAGATACTTGTAACGTCTCTGAAATTGCACATACTTACTTATAACCTACGATAAGAAGCATGCTAGAGTTGAATGGGAATCGAGTAAACATCAGAAATGAAGGTGAAAGCCTGTCAAAGCCGGAGGAGAGACTTACACTGTATGGCTCGGAGGCGGGGGATTCTCGTTGGGCTGCTCGGTGGGCTAGAGCTGTTACTATGCAGACTTCTCCGTTTCTCCAGGTTGGGAGAAGCCTGCACAGTAATTTTGTGCTGAAAATCTGTTGGATGAAAGAAGAAAAAAAAAAAAAAAAAAGGATTGAGATTTCACAGCTTAAGTTATTGTCATATTCATGTCTTTAGCATCAAAGCAAAAGTTGCAAGATGGTAAATATGAAGTCTATTTCAAAGCAGGACTGTGAATGGGTTCATTCTAGACAATGATCCCCCAGTGGTTCTTAACTGGTCTTACGTACACACGTTACTATACATAAGGGAATCTTGTTAAAATATAGATTCTGATTCAATATTATCAGGTGGAAAGGCAAATTCTCAGCAGCGGGTCAAACCAGAATCGCCTGATTTGAAGCCCTGCTTTCTTACTTTAGTGTATCTTCCATTCAAGGTTCAAGGTGTATTAGAGCTTATATTGTAAATCAGTTGGTTTGTGGGAAACTGTAGTTTACATCAGGTGTCCTAATCTCTTTTGAGTCTTGATATAAATTCAGACACCAGCTGAGTTCTTTCTGACCACTAACCCAACATTGTGATGCTCACACCTCCAGGCAAATACAGGGGGAGGCAGGTTTGCATTCAGGCTTGCACAAAGAACCAGGGAACTTACCTGGGCTTGTCCTTGATGATTTGCCAAAATGAACCACGTATCTAATTTAAAAGTCAGGGTGCTAAGTCAAACTCCACCCACAGTGTAGCAGGTAGTGAAAGCTCCACGGCCAATCCTGTAAGCTTTTTGAACATGCACTGGTGTAGGTGTCCCCATCATGGTTTTAGCCCCGGTTCTGTACTCCCACCTGTGACTGCGATGAACTGACCTGCCACCAATCCTGGTCTCGTGATAACTCAGTTTTCATTTCATGTATAGTTAGTCCGGTGGCCACGAGTCTGTGGGCTGCATTGCGGTCTCTGTACTGAGTACATGCTCAGGTTTCCCTCATCCAGAATGACTGTCTTTGCCTTGTCTCTATCCCTGGTTAAGGCTTACTAAGAGTCTCTGTAGACTATGAATCTTGGGTTTCTCCCCAAGTGCAAAGTGCCCTGGTGTGGTGTAGTGGGATAAAGCACTAGACCACAAGGTTGCTGCGTTGAACCACAAGGTCAGCAGTTCAAACTCACCAGCCGCTCCTTGAAAACCCTATACAGACTCACCATGAGTCGGAACCGACTCGACAGCACTTAACAATAACAACAGCAACAAAGACAAAACATAATATTTCAGAGTTTATGATATGCTAGATATAGTGAGACACTTGCACACACACAGAGAAAATAAAGTTTTACTTCAACTTAATAATCTTCTGGGGAGACAGTTATTTATAAAACAATAATAACAAAATTGAAGAAGGAGGTCCTGGTTTTAAATGACTTCTGGTCTGTCACTAACAAACTAGGTGTCTCACAGAAGGACACAGACTTTCTGAGTCTCTTTCCTCACCTGTTAAAAGTAAACAAGATCTCTCATAGTTGTGATGACTACAATGTTGTTGTGAAGTGCTGTGGAGTCGGTCCTGGCTCATAGTGATGCTACATAGGGTTTCCAAGGAGCAACTGGTGGGTTTGAACTGTTTATCTTTTGGTTCACAGTCCAGTGCTGATCCTACATTGCCACACCAGGAGTCCAATAGAAAGTGTCAATTAAAAGCATTCTGGGGTCAAAGTATTCTACAAATGTTACTTACACATATACAGACTAGTTCACCATCAGTCTGTCACAATGAGATGCCTGGGTGTTACTATGATGCTGAAAACAACGCCACCAGCATGTTAACTTATGATGGATAAGTTTCAGTAGAGCTTTAAGATTAAGCAAACCAGGAAGAATGCCCTGGCAATCTCCTACCTAGAATTGGCCCAAAACAGCAGAGCACTGCTCAACTCTGTTACCTTGGACATATTATCCATAGGAATCAGTGTGTTTCGCTAAGCCAAGAACAAAAGAGAGTTGGCAGACCTTTGGTGATTGGTGACATGGGCAGGCACAGTAAGCAAAGTGATGGACTTAAAACCGCCAGCAATTGTGATGATGTAGGACACTGTGTTTGCCATGAGTCAGAGTTGACTTGACAGCAGTTACTACATGCCACGGTGATATCCTCTCACCGTACTGACTTAATCTGTATGCTGAGCAAGTCATCAGAGAAGCTGGATGATATCAAGTACAGCATAGCATCAGGATTAGAGGAAGATCCCTTAACGACCTGAGATATGCAGATGACACAACCTTGTCTGCTGAGAGCAAAGAGGACTTAAAACACTTACTGATGGAGATCAAAGACCATAGCCTTCAGGGTGAACTGCAACTCAATGCAAAGAAAACTACATTACTCACAACTGGATGACTAAATAACACTGTGACAAATGGAGAAAAGGGTGAACTTGCCGAGGACTTCATTTTGCTTGGATCCACCATCAACACTCATGGAAGCAGTAGTCAAGTAGTCAGTGGGAAACTTTGCTGCATGAGGACCTCTTTAAAATATTAAAGAGCAAAGATGCCAGTATGAGGACCAAGTGCGCCTTATGTTTTCATGGTGTTTTCAACAGCCTCACTCACACGCATGTGAAAGTTGGACGATGCATAAGAAAGACTGTACAAGAATTGATGCATTTGAGCTATGGTGTTGGAGGAGAATATTGAAAGTATCATGGAATGTCAAAGAACAAACCAATCTGTGTTGGAAGAAATACAGCTAGAAAACTCCTCAGAAGCCAGGATGGCAACATTTCATCTTTTATGCTTCAGAAATATTCTCAGGAGAGATATCTGAAATATTATCTGGGAAAGGACAGTGGAGGGTCAACAAAAAAGAGAAGGACCCCCAAAGAGATGGATTAGCACAGTGGAGGGTGGAGGGTCAGTGCTTGGGACAGTGGAGGGTCAACAAAAAAGAGAAGGACCCCCAAAGAGATGGATTAGCACAGGGACAGAAGCAATGGGCAGAAGCAAAACAGCAATTCTGCGGCTTGCACGGTATTTGGCTCTCTTGTGCATGAGCTGCAACTGACTTAAACAACTACACTGATATCTACCTAACCATCAAGCTCAGCATTTTTCAAGCTGAAAGAACTGAAGAAAAAATTCAAGTCTCGACTTGCAATATTGAAGGATTCTACTGAGGTACTGCAAGATAAGCACTGGACTGGTAACGGCAAGGTTGGCAGTTCAAACCCACAAGCCACTTTTGGACACAGGGTCACTATGAGTTGGAACTACTCGATGGGACACTACAACAAACAAAACTGAGTGAGTCAGTAAACATCAAATGAAGTTGGAAGGGATACACACAGTTACTGTATCCAAGAGAATTGGTTGATGTTCAATCATTTCAAATGGTACCATAGGATAAAGAACTGATGATACTGAAGAAAGAAGTCCAGGCTGCACTGAAGACACTGGCCAAAAATAAGGCACCAGAAATTGATGGTTTATGAACTGAAATCTTTCAACAAACTCATGCATCACTGAAGTTGTTCACTCATCTAATACCAAGAAATTTGGAAGGCAGCTAATTGACCAACCAATTGGAAGAGATCCATATTTGTGGCCATTCCATAGAAAGCTGACCCAACAGAATGAGGAATTCATCGAACAATATCATTAATATCATGTACAAGTAAAATATTGCTGAAGATAATTAAAAAACAGCTGCAACGGTCCATGGACAGGGAGTTACCAGAAGTTCACGTCGGATTCAGAAACGGAGGTGAAGTAGGGATGTCATTGCTGATATCAGATGGATCTTGGCTGAAAGCAGAAAATACTGGAAGGAAGTTTACCTGTGCTTTTTTGGTGATATTGATGACAAAGATATTTGTGTGGATCAGAACAAACTATCGATAACATTGTGAGCAACGGTTATTCCAGATTATTGAACTGTGCTCATGAGGAAACTATACATAGACCAAGAAGCAGTCATTGCCACAAAATATGGTAATAGTGAATGGTTTAAAATTAAGAAAGGTATGCACCACGGCTGTATCCTTTCACCATACTTATCCAATCTGTATGGCATTAGGGGTGGAGGAAAACACATTAACAATTACAATATGGCAAACCTCGCTTGCTGAAAGTAAAGAGGACTTGAAATACTGAAGAAGATAAACCACCATGCAGTACGGATTGCACTCTTTAAAAAAATTTTTATTGTGAATTAAGTGAAGGTTTACAGACAAGATCATCCGTTTTACAGTCAATAAATCCTACGCTTCATTTCATCTCAATCATTGCAATTCCCTCCATGCAACAACAGTTATCCCACTTCCTCCCTGCAGTTCCTAGTTCCATTTATTCCATCTTCAGATCCCTTCTCAACTGTGTCCTTAGGAAAATGCTGCCCTTTTGATCTGGAATGACTGAGTGCTCCATCATTCATAATAAGCATACCGCAGTAGTGGTGTGGCTCCCCCTGTGGACCTACCTACTGCTTGGCTGAACGTTGAGCCGTGAGGGTGAGTTCTTTTCCAGACCTCAAGGGTGGTCACGGCCTATAGTCTCAGGTTCCTCCAGTCTCTTCTTTCTAACCAGTAAGCTCAATCTCTCTGGTGTTTTGTTGTTTTTTTTTTTTAAATAATTTTGAGTTTTGTTCCACATATTCCACCGCTCTGTCCGGGACCTTCCAATGTGATCCCTTTCAGAGCCATTGGTAGTGATAACTGGGTACTAACTAGCTCTTCTGGTCCCACAGTGCTGGTGACTGATGTTCACATGGTCTATCGGTCCACTGGACTAAGTGATTCCAAGCATCTTCAATTCTCAACACTTTTCTTTCTTCTGCCCATGGAGAGACCAATAGCTGCACCTTAGACAGCTGCTCATGAGCTTTTACTATCCCAGATGCTAATCACCAGCGTCAGATGTAGAACATTGTCACTGAGGACTATGCTATGCCAATTGACCATGGTGTCCCCTGAGACTATGGTCCTGAGCCCCCAGGTTCAGATATTCATTGTTGAATAATATCTAAGAAGTTTTCATTATTTTGCCCACTGTATGCTCCACCACATTCATAGCTGTGTTTACAGAAAAGGTAAGTACTCATGTACC